GGGACAGCCGTACTTTGCTCTTTTCTGTATAGTTTGCACAGAGACTCAGACACACACTGCAGGTTTGAATGGGCCATCACCTACAGTATTAATACTACGGGATTTCTAAGCACTAAATATCATTGTAGAGAGTCTCAAAGGGATATTTAAAAGTCCATCCTGCATTTTATTAATTCTTAGAAAATCACATATTCATTCATCTCGTAGGCAAGTTCAAGGTCAGACCAGGGAAGATGAAACTACCAAAAATTGAATTAAATGCTTAAAAATGCAGTTCCTTCTCTGTGCTCTCTCTCCTCTTCAGGGTTGGAGCAGAAGAGCTGCCTGAGGAGGTAATCTACTTCACAGATGAGGGAATGGAAAGAAACTTTAAAGTACAGACCCTTAACTTTAAAAGTTATGAATACTAAACCAACACTCCTGTTGTAGTAACTATGATCACTACTGATTTTAAATATCTGAGTTATAAATTCCATTTGCAGTCCCTCTCTCCTGCCACACAGTATTTCTTATCATTAAGCATACAGTATTTATTTTTGTAGCATAAGATATTTATTTTGATTTCTAGTTCTTTTTGAAAAGCAGAGGGCATTAATTTCCTCTGTAGAAATGCAATGTTTCTTATCCAAAAAAGCAGAAAAATTGCATTTGGAGTCTTACCAAATACTAGCTAAACAAGTCAGCACAGCCACAGAAAAGAAGAAAAAAATAAAAATATCCCTGTGTTCTTACTTTATTTTATCACAGGTTAATTATCACATAGTGTATGGGGTGATGCCAAAAAAACTCTGCTATGTTCAGAAACTAAAACTTGCATTTTATTTGTCTGCAGCTGCATTGCACAATGGAGTGTTAAGCCCCCCTCCCCAAGACAAAACATGACCTCCCCCCAAAACAAGGGGTGATTGATTCACTGATGTTTTTTCTTTCAGGGTAACTGTTACTTATCTTTTGTCCCAAATGCTATTTCTCTAAGTGCTTTGATTGCAAAGTATTGATTTTTTTTTTTCCTATTCCTTTTTATCCTGGTCTACCAGCACAGATAGATAGATGTCGCAAAGACAATAATGAAACACAATTTAATGTTTTTCAGGTTCAGATTTCAAATTTGCCCAGCATGGTCCCTATTTTATTTTCTGACACAACATCCCCTTGCCTGAAGTTCTAAAAACTCTAAATGAGATTTTATGCAAGATTTAGTTTCAATGAAATGAGGGAAAAAAAAAATCCTGAAGCTCTATAAAACTAAATTTTTGCATTAAATTTTCAGACATAAAGCTAAAACTCATTTCTGTAGTCTCTAAATTTCTACCATTTGCTCTATTTCTATTGTCTCAAATAAAGGTGCTATCAAGCAGCATCACTGTAGGATATCAGAACTGGAAAGATTCCAGAATTTAAAATGTGAAGCATGTGGTTTCCTCAGCAACCTGGAAAATGTACTTTGGTGCCTACTGGGTATCAGAAGTGATGTCAATTGTCATGGTAATTTTTCAGATCGTTGTTGCTCATAATCTTCTTCTGTGTCTTTTATTTGATCTCTAGTTGGCCACTAAACTCTCCTTACCTTCTTCATCTGGATTTTAGAATGAAGATAAAATATATTTTCTAGTTCATCATCTTTAATCAATACAAGAATGATACTAACAGTTCATAAAATAAACTATGGAGTGGCCTGCATCAATGAATCCAAAGAGAGACCCAAGAATAAAGGGTGATTTTAAACTATTTTTGTTTCAACAACAGAACTTGCAGAAATTTACTGTAGCACAGTTTTGGGCACCACACCAATTACTTCTCAGTGTCACCAGAATAGGTGGTTAAACATTTAACAGAGTCATAGAAAATAAAAAAAAATTATTAACAGAAGTCCAAACACCCAGCATAGATATACATCATTTGGCTATGGCTACATTACCAGTAGAGTTGATCTCCCTGAATTGCAAAAGAAAGTAAACAACTTTTCCTAAATGGGTAAGTTATGCAAGTCAACGATTTTTCAAAAAATTATTTCCAACATCTTTATGGATTTAGCTTTTGTTTGTTTTTTTTTTTTTTACCTAGCATTAAAAAAATACTAGTGTTCAAAAGTTAGTTCATTAGAGTACCTGCTGAGGGAAGAGTACTTGGTAAAACCTGATTGAATAGTATCTACTATTCCAATTCTTCACTTGTTTAAATTCCTTCAACATGCCAACACCTGTACCCCATACCTCCTCATAACTGCAAGCAGCAGCTATATGCTGCTGCTGCTTCCAAATACACATAGAAAATTATTTCTTAACACCACACAAGAGGAAAAGTTTTTCTTGTACCACGTCTTTCACAGTCTTTCACTGTTTTCAACTAAAATGCCTAAATACCACTTGAGTCATGTTGATAAACTTAAAACAAGCATTTAATATCAGATAACTAAGCCAGTAAAAATACCTAAATTGCTATCTATGACCTCTGAAGATACTTTAAACTGTAACATCCAGATCTTCAATTAGAATATACAGATTAAAACATGATTTGCCTGAACACACCAGTTTATAATCAGAAGAAAGAATAAAAAGACTATTGTGTACAGAGGCAGAAGTTTAAAAGCTGCATATTTTTTTAAATTGCAATAAAATTCTGAACTGTCCTGGAAAGTCTGAAAGACAGCACTTGGATAAAGCAGAATACAGCCTGTGCACTTCAATAAGGTGCACTCTAGAAATGCAAAAATGTAAATCACAGTTCACGAGCTTTAAGAGAAAAACATTCACATGAGAGGAGCTACATGCTTCTCAAGTTCCAGGCAGAGGGCAGAAGCAGCTATCTGTACAATCAAAAAAGGACAGGCATATATATCAGATAAAAATGAGACTTCATAATTTTCTCTAGCACCCGAAACAGATTTTATGCAAGTTCTCATTACTTCCACAGTATATAGAGAAAATCAGACTGTGCTTCTGCAGGTATTTCTCAAAGTCTGCTTTTCTGCAGAAAAATGCTAAAGAGAACAAGAAAATGCAAAGCCCAACTTACAGAAAATCCCAAACCTAGTCTTAGATTCCAGGTCTGGAGAACTAGTTAAAAAAATCAGTTAAGGACAGCAATCCTAAAACTTTAAAGGTTTAAATCTGCTCATTTAACCTAGGCTATACAAAAAATAAAAAATTCCATACTGCACCACAAATTTCAGATACAAATATTGACAGCTGTATTATCCATAAGAATCTTCTAAGTTTGCTAGTTATAGAAAATGTAAAAAAAAATTGGATTTAAAAACTACACAATTTAACTGTTGGTGTTAAAGGAAATGGTTCCAACAACTCTGCATGTGATTCTAGTTAGCAGGAAATAGGTGTTTTTCAACAGATATGTTATACATATTTTTTTGTTTAAGAAGCTCAGAGATAGGTTTACAAAACAACTCAAATTGCAGTTTATTATGGTAATGTTATTATCTTTTGAGCTAGCTAGAAGAACAAGACTTCAAAACCTTTGCATATAAAAGCCTGGGTCCTTATTTTCCAATCGGAAAAGACAGGTACTTTTACTTGAAAGCAGCAGCAAACAAACCACAAAAAACAGGCTAGCCACATGAAGAGACAAGAAGAAACTGTCTTAATATGGATTACACTGGTCTCAAGAAAACAAGTTTACAAAATTAGTAAAAAGAGAAACTTTAGTACTGTCTATAAATGAACTAATGAAACATCATTCTAAAGAGGCAAGTAGAGCACAAGAAAATGTGAAAAAACAGTGTAAGAGTTAATGGAAGTAAAACAACCTCACTGACATTTAACATTTACACAAATATCAGAGTCCCCACTTCTTGGTTAAACATTCAGCTGGGATCGCAATCAATGTTTGAAGTGTGCATGACCAATTTTGAAAACAAAAAGAAAGCACAGCTCAAAAATTACAAATTCTTTATGTATTTCTAAAAACATGAACAGTCAAAAAATGAGACCATGAAAACTTACGGCTCTATTCTAGAATTATTCATGACTTATGGCTAAACTCCATGCCTGAACTTCCATTCCAGCATGAGATTTGCTGTAACAGAACTGAACACAACCTAAACCCTCATGATTCACAGCTATATACTAGAAGAAAAGGCATTGGCAAGGCATCAGAAATTAATCAACATTCTGAACTATTAAATCACAAGAATTCCTTGGAATTGCTTACAGGTCTAGAAAAAAAACAAAACCAAATGACATTCACAGCCTAATACATTAAACACAAGCCCCAAGAGCAGCTTCTCTAAAGAAGAAAAAACATTATGTAAATTAAAATTTATTGTGATACATGCATTTCTCTCTTTTTACCATGTGTAGCAACAATTTGAGATGTATTATGTGCAATTTGCAAACAATCATCCGTAATGACATTCATTGCCCTAGGATTCAATGCCCTTTGAGAAGCCTCTCCAGTTTCTCTGACAGGGCCTACTTTTTGCTTATCCAGACCTCCTCCATTTCACTGATAAGGTCTACATTTTCTTATCCAGAAAGATATGCAGGATAGTCTGAACCCTGATTATCCTATTCTAGCAGTTCCCAAGAAATATTAAGTATGGTCAAACAGCATTTCTAATGGAAGTTATACAAAGTTCTTCCTGAATTTTTCTCAGTAAGTTACAGAGTAATCATCCTAATTGTTTCTACTGATACAACCCCTCATTCATTGAGTCACATACTGAAGTCATAGTTACCCAGTGCCCTATGCTTCAAATCAGTGTGGCTTTGTTAAGGTAGTGGGTGTGAAAGGATTGATTTTTCAGATGATGTGCACTCTTACAAATACTTCAGTCATTGTTAATAGTGAAATGGAAGCAGAAGCAGCACATGCAACCACCGAAAGGCAACAACCCCTGCTTTGTTTTTTATTTCAAACCGAAATTTATCACTCATCATCTTCCCATTACATGAATGGACTCAATCATTAATCTCCAAAATGTAAATCTTAGAAATTAAGATGCATCAGAGATGTGTATCTGACTTAGATCTCTACAATCTTACCTTCTTCTGAAGAACATTAACTTTGCGTTCCTTCACCTCTAACATGTCCTTGAGGTCATGGATCTCTCCTGCTTGTGTCCCCTTCTCCTCTGCCATCTCCTGAATCTGCTTTGTCTTCTTATTTAGCATAGTCTCTTTCTCTTCCAGACGTAATCGTAATGCATCCACCTAGATTCAGGCACGCAGAAAGAAGGTTTGTTTAGCACCGAAGGAGAGAAATTTTCAAAAAGTTAAACTACACTTCCACAAGGGAGTAAGTGCCGTCAAATCACAAGCACATGCCAAAAACTAACATCCCTTACTTTAAAACTTCAACATACACGAGCTTGTGATAAAACAATTATCACAAGTGGTAGGAGGCCAAATTAAAAATAATCAAATGTTTTATTCTCAAATTATATGAGACTAATGCTCCTTGGAAAATCTCAAATCATACTTCTGACATAACTCAGTCTTGTAAGATACAAGTCTGGAATATTTTTCCTCAAAGTAGAAGCCAATACAATGTGTTGTTGAGAAGTTCTCTCACACATAGGAAAACTGATCTATTTATTTGAAATACGTCTAATGTTCACAGATTTAAACACTGACTCCTAATACCGAACAGTCATTTCATATTCTAGGTTTTAATCAGAGTATTAGCTGAGCCTGGAAGTAATGAAAGCAGAGGCCTTTGCAGCCACTGCAGATCAAAACATGGAAGGAGGGTTACCTTAGGATGGCTAAGAATATTTTGGCTTAAATAGCAACATAATAGTTTAAATGTAACATGAGTTTTCAGCAGGATGCAGTCTTATATCAAAGATAAAACAAATGACACAGTACAGGATATTGTGGGTACAATTTGGACACATAAACATACTTAGAGCTCCCATGGCCTCCATAAATTTAGAAACACACTCTGGGACTTCTATGGTACCCTCAAACTTCACATCTGCATGTTGAGAAGCTTTTGTTTTTCCTTCTGCATTTCTCTTACACAGATGAAACAGAGCTCACAAGACAAAAGAAATGGGAGAAAGAATCAGAGCTATCTGAATATCAATTTGATGAGAAAAATAAGGTCACCACAGAGCACAGACTAATCTCAAAGACCATTGTGGAACATGAAATCCAACACCACCAACCTGCTCAAGATACCAAAAGAAACCCACTGACCCCTATCCACTCGCCATTCAGACAGAGCTCAAATCTGCCAGCCCGGCTGCTAATCTTCGCTGACAGTATCAGATTTGGTTCCTGTTAGCTGCATCCTTTACAGGACATCAGTCACACAGAGTAAACAGGGGGATCAATGAATTTCTTGGTCCTTCTTCAGAGCATAGGCTAACAGAGACTTGAAGTAAAAAGATGACTTGGACAACTCCAGCTAGAGAAAGAAGTTAGTCACTATGCTTACATTATTTTGAGCAACACTTATTTTTAATGTGTTATTCTAATTCCACTTTATTTCTATTTGCTAATGGAAAAGTTGCCTCTAAGGCTCTACATTTACAGTATATTACGCCCACAAAATCCTTTGCTTTGTCTGATTCCTTTTACACAGAGCAGTAAGCACTTGCCAGTGGAGAAAAGAACTGCCCTGCTCTCCCCATCAGCACTGCAATCCCACTGCCACCTCTATGTCTGGAGCCTTCTCACTTACACATACATTATTAAAATCACATTCCTGACCTCTCACCCAGCAAGTGGGGCATGGAGTATATTCTGCAGGGATATTAGAGTACCAGGTACTACCCAAATATGATTTATAGGATTGCTAGTGTTTGTAATGAAAAGTTTAGCAGGTGGATCAAGCTTTGTCTTCTTTTTAAAAACACGCAGTTTTATAGATTGATTAGGTATGTTCTTCTCTGGATATCTAATATTAAAGCTAAGAGTCACTTTTATTAATTCTTGAAGGGAAACTGAAAATCTCCCTCACAAGAAAATCCACATACTCTCAACAGTTGTGTTGCAAAATATTTGAGACAGTCCAGATGCCTACAACACAGTATTAAGTGAAAAGAGAACATCTGCAAACAGAAATTTATCCACAGAATGCTTTCCATTTTCTGATTGATTATTCTCTTTGAACTCTATATTAGCTTACGGTTTGGGGTAAATTGCATTCCTGGTTTTATTTGTGTGAGGTCCCTGCCTAGGAAACCACAGAAAACACTTTCAAGAATATTTTCAAAGGCTGGCAGGACACACAATCAGCACCTTAGCACTATTCCTGGCAGAACACTGCACTTGTTTATTCATGTCAGCTCAGTTTATGTATGGCATCCTCCCACAGTGACAAGAATTGAGGTCTGTGGGAGTCAGGTGATGCCAACTTCAACAAAGTCAGCTTAAGATTTTCTCTGCACATGGAAACGACTAGGCAAACAGCTACTGAGGTGCTGACGCCCCTTTCTCCTGACTTCTGTGTCTTGGATGCTGTTGTCTTAACCCTGGGTTAACCTAACTGCTTTCACAGTAATAGATGGGTATGTCTTTAATTATGCGTGGCAAGTAAAATCTTACAGTACAGCTCAGGCAACTGCTAGTCCCTTGGAGCAACAATGGGCTTGCTAACTTGATCTGCACGTACCACCCAATTTCCCATAAAGGTTTAGCAAAATAAGCACATTTGTTGCCACCTTCAACACAAGGTTCAGGTGCACTTCCTAGGGACAGGTACAGCAGGTACCTCTCTTCAGCTGGGTACCATACATAAGACTTAAAATTCTTCACTTTAAGAACGATGTATGGAAAACTGTGTTGGGAACCACTGGTCTGCCTTTACAGAATTTTCCAGTAGCAGTAAATAATACTTTATAATTCTGTTCCTAATATGTATAGCCATATATTAAGCATGTAGAAATCCAAATTGCTAAGGAAAACTAGCACATTAGTAGCTCCAATGACTACCAGAATAAACACAATAAATGACATAATATTTAATCTAGATTTATTCTTAAACTTGTTTTAAAATCTTGGATTCTGTAATTACAGTCTCAGCTTTCTGAATATTTCCAACTCACAGCTTTGGGAAATCACTAAAATCTTCGCAAGTCCACAGTGAGTTTCAGAACTGACTCAGGAGCTTGAATCAACAGGACTCAGGTTGTACACACTTTGTCTCATTTTTGCCATCACCTCCATTGTACAGTAGCAATCAGGGTATTATGACACTGGGTTTAGGAAGATGTCAGTGATGCCTAGAAAAAACAATGCTCTCCTCTTTTCCTGAGACTGAATGATTCTTCCCACCTACCTGCCACCTGTTCAAAAATGGCTGAACTACTGATTTAGATCAGTGAACCAAGCCATACTCCATTCAGTTATATCAGAAGGTACAATCTCCCCTATGTTATATCCAAGCTCCGATTTCTCTGTAATGACAACATCCAAGATTTTTATTCTCTGTTGGTATGACTACATTAATGGCAGCAAAAGGAATAGGCAGAATATCGATCCTAAAGTATGTATTTAGAGCTTGCTATGGTTTCTAACAAGAGCCAGCTACTTTAAAAAGTAAATGTTGAAGTAATTCTGTCAACACTCTAAATTCAAAGATAACTGAGAAATGCAGAGAGGAAGACATAAAGTTATATTTAGTATGCAAGGTGAAAGTTGCTTTTATCCTACTGTAGATATTGCTATGTGAAGTCTCCAAATACCTTAAATAAGTACACTTTTAAAAGGATCAGTTTTGCATATAAAGACAAAAAAAAGTTAAGCTGTTTTCCTGATAGCTTAGTCTGTAATTAAGATTTAAAAGCTATGTTTACTGACTGATTTTAAATGCAGTGGTAGTTCACAAGACTGAATTCTCTATTTTTGACACTGCTCTTTCTTATTAATTACCTTAGAGTTGACTCTTCACCTTCTTATACAAACTGCAGCAATGTCCAGTACGGTCTGTAGGACTGAGAGTGAATTCTTTATGAACGTACACCTCCCAGTTATCTGGACAATTTAGATTACATGACTATGCCATGGAGCCAAGGCGCACACACCTGGCTTTGTGCAAAGCTCATCTGGTTCTTGCTAGGTTTATAAACTGAATGCAGGACAGCTGTACTGGCTCCAGGGCCTGCTCAGGTCAGAAATCAGTTCAACTGTTCTTCCACAATCTGCAGCACAAGGTATGAAAATACCTAAACACAGTGAACTCAATGTTTGCAGGTATCAGCATAGGTCTTCATGTAGCTGGTGCTAACAAGCCTTGTTAGAGACACCCAGCTCCCATTTGCACATTCCTCACTAAATGTGATCCACTCTCTAACTGTCTCTGATTTGTGAAGGTCTACTATATTTTTAAAATGTCAGTATAAGCCCCAATAAAGGACTCCTTAAAACATTTTATGTTCTACTGAAACAAATAAAATACTTCCAGAGGACCAGATGCATTTTTCTACTGAATATTAATCTGAATTTATCATATGGAACAGACCAATTACAGAACCATGCCAGCTTGGTCGCTACACAAAAATAAAGGAGAACATTCTCACTGATTAATTTAACCTCCCACTGAAGCCACAAACCTTCTGGCACTGACCTAAGTTGAAGGGCTTATTGGGCAGAATACATACTTTCTATGGATGAAGTCTTAATTCCAAAATAAATATTGATTTTTTTTGTTTTGTTTACAAAGAGATTGCACATTTTTAGAGGTATTTTTAAAGGTTCCTTCAGAAATTGAAAAGTTAACCACAATATCCTCTCCACCCAGTAGCCCTCAGGATAAACACCCCACAAACAGCTCACTGTTCTTTGTAGTTCTAGTGTGGCAGGTGGCAAACCCATTTCTGAGATATTATACCAACAACTTTTCCCAACCTACCTGCAGTTTTTTTTAACATAAGACTAAAAGGCAGAGGCTTATGAAAGTATGCTTTTTTCTCTCAAAACATTTATTTAAATATTATTTTAAAATACCAATCCCCTATGAAGATGTCTGTCAATATATGACAGAACATGCACCTCTTCCTCCTCACAATTCTCTCTAGGTGTCTTGAGAGAAGCTAGTTATGTTTTAATATTGACCAGTGCTGTCAACAGGTGAGGCTGGGAAGGATCTCACATTCCTACCCTATTCCTGGTGAAAATTCTTGTATAGAAAGATACATTTTCAAAAAAAAAAAAAAAAACAAAAACCAAACAAATACATCACAGGATGAAACAACAAACATTGCAATGCTACATTTTATCAACATGTTTCCATCTTGAGAAGATCACTTGTGAAGACAGAAGAAAGATAACTGTATGATGATTTAATTGTTGAGCTTTCTGTAAAGAACATCAGGAAGGATGAAAAAGACGTGATTATCTTTCAAAAAGTATAAACAACTTACCGGAATTACATAGGAATTCTCAGGAACATAAATGGATGGTTCTAAATATCTATTCTGATACAATGGAATAGCCTGATACCAACACTTTGTATGTGTTACAAACAGACCAGATTGCTACATCTTACTGTGGAGAACATGCTAGACTGTATTGCATCCATTAAATGTATCATAAAAACATAATTCTAAACCAATATTGTTAAAGTTTTAACTCCACAGCAACTCCTTACTGAAAGACAGAGTGAAAAATCACCTTTCACTGTTACTGTAGTTGTTACGTTTCACTTATGATATCCGGAAGCAAACTATGTGAACAAACTAAAAGCCCTAAGTAGAAAATATCTCTCCCCTTCTCCCCCAGAGCCCACCTTACAGCCACTTTTTATTCTTAAAAAAGAATTTGTACATTTCAGAGGAAGAATCCAATTTGGTTTTGTATTATGGTGCTCTAAGAGAATCTCATTTGGAAGAACCCAGTGAAGAACAAGTACTCTCAATGATTATTCAGTAATATTACAAGTTAGAGAGTAGAATCATTTTCTATATTAAAAATCTACTTTGGCCTTCAGCTAAAATAAAATCAAAACATTCTGAATAACTAACAAAAGTATCTATCAATGGTATATAACCAAGTCTTTTTTTTTTTCTTAATATTTTGTTTATATTCCATATATTATTTGACTAAATGTTTACCTACCAAAAAAGGATGAAATTATGACCATCTACTGAAGTCTCTTAACTTGTTAATAAAGTATATAATTTCAAGAATTCCATCTCTCATAGGCAGAAAAGTACTTTTTATATAATAAAAAGTACTATTAATAAAAAGTGCTTTTTATTATTTAAAAGTAAGCAGAGAAATGTGATTCCATCTTCATAAGTTTATCACAATACTGCACAGTAATTTCAAATATCTATATTATTTTCAATCACTATAATGGATCAAAATCTGCAATCTCCATTTTAAAATATTTATTTGCCTAATATCTACTTCCAATGATGTAATGAAATATAAGTATTTTTTAAAATAAACATGTACGAATCTAGGGTACATTTCTGACTAGCAAAAAAGAATGAACAAATTTAACAAGTTTATGATTCTTATGATAAAATAGCACACTTTCACAGTTATACTGACTAAGGCAATTTCAACCTCTAGATAAATCTGAGAATAATCAGAAAATCCATCTCAGAACATCAAAAAATATTTACTATGTAACTTGATTTCTGCATGTGGACAGGGCCATGTGTACCCACAGATTCACTGAATATGGCTAAAGTAAAGCTATGTGAGGGTAAAAACTTGAAATAAATTTTCATAACACTCTTATAATATGGAATCTTTCTACCAGTATTACCCACACATTTTCTGCATGCCTATTTCACAGCTCCTTTGGCTTTTTACTATTTTAGCTGCAACAACACAAATATTTTTTGATGCATGACCGCCATCTTTTGGACTTCTACTAACACTACAATTTGCCAAACCCGGGGATTGAAATGCTGCCCTCACACAACATTTCATGCTTGTTCTTCAAGAATGTCCAAACGCAATAAATTTATGCTATACTTATTATCTATTTGATGTTCAGATATACACTTGTGACTTACATAATATGGGAATTCATTAAGCATTTGTTATCAAAACACACTTCTGAAAACATTTTTTGTTTATCTTGGAATATGCATCATAAAACATGAAAGCCCATATTTCAGGTGTAAGTACAGGCTTACATGCAAGAATTCCCTCCCATACATGCTGACAGTAGCAGTGAAGGCTCAGCAAGTTCTATACTACCATAATGCTCTTCCTTTCTCTGCTCTCTTTTAGCTACAAGATTATTGAAAAGAAATCCCCCCAGCTCAGGCATTGCAACTTCCAAGTTAGCTATGCCGAAGAAGAATAATATTAGTGACTGCATGTTAATGGAGCATGTTGTAGAAGTGTGTATTAGTCCACAGGAGTGTGTGTGCACTTAAACACACATATTTGTCTTTATGACCAATCCCCTGGCCTAGAGAATCTAACATAATTGAAGACACATCATACTCAGAACAAGCAGTATTGAATGGCTATGGGATTGTATAATTTAAGCAAGAACAAAAGAAATAATGCTTTTTATCTCTTTCTCTACGAAAAGTCAGTAAGTACAGAATTGCCCGTTTCACCTCTGTCTGCAGGATGGCAGCTCTTTGCTCTTTAGCTGTAAGAGACTCTTTCAGAACTTCAATATGCTGCTTGCTATCAGAGAACTGATTTGTGAGGGTCTCCAGCTTTGTCTGCAAGGCCAGCAACTCAGTGTCTTTGCGTGACAGCTCTTGTTTCACCTGACCAATCTGAAAAAGAAAAGATGGGCAAAGGAAAAAAATTATACCTTCCTTACAAAAATAACAATACATTCACATTACTACCAACAAACAGTATGATACTCTAAACTTATTCCATGGAATCGTGAAGCCTTCAGTTATCTTGAATGGAAGGCCAGCAAAAATTTGTGTCATTAGCAAAAGATACAAGGCAAAAGAGTGGAGTAGCAATAGTATCAATTTCTCAAAAGAGGTTATTTTTAACAGTCAGTCTGTGCTTAGTCATCTTTCAAAGCACTGACCAAAACCAGTTACTTAGCAGGGTTAAGTTTTTAATGAAGATGAAGCAGAACTGTAATGAGAAAGTACCCGTACCCTGAAATATCAGAAAACATGAGATACCTACAGTTCTCTCTCAGAAGCACGATGTTTGCTTTGAAATGTCAAACCAGCAAGTTTCCATCCATCTATCGATCCAGCCTCATATTTGCAAAGTATGTAAAGACATCTTTATTTTTCCCACTATTTACAAAACCAGCACTTCAATCTTCTAAGAAATACCTTTTAATTTATGGAAGCTTCTTAAAGCAAATGCAAACATACATCAAAACAACATGAAAACTGTTTGTGGAATTGCACTTTGTTGAGAGCAATTTCCTAGATTTAATTTAGTGAATTAAATCAGTACAGAAATGCCAATTTATTTTAACAAATGTAGGTTGGATTATCATTTATAATGACACACAGTGAGGAATGTTAAAAGCAAAGCACTGAAATGAGATGAAATCTCATTCTAAGTGCAGTCATCACCAGAACAATTTTGATGTAAATCTTCAGAAAAAGAAAAATTTTAATTAAACAGGACATGGAAGTCTACATGTAGACTTATGTCCAAGTTTACAACCAACTTTCTGGTTTGCCTCCAATGAATTCTCTCACAATAAAATAGCAATATTTTACTTTTATATATTATATAGCAGAGGTGGACATATCTCTAAAAACTAAACAGTTTTCCCTTTTTTAACTTGAACAATTTTGTTTGTGACATTAAAAAGAAAAATCCCTCCCCCAAACGTATGTTGTCCAATGCTTCAAAACAGAAATTAAAGAACATCACAAAAAAAAGTGTCCAGGTCATCCTCCATTTTTGGGAATGTTTCAAGAAGAAAATGAAATTGATATAAACTACAATTTATAATTTTTTATTTTTTTATTTTTAATCAGAATAAATGCACATACTAGTAGAAATAACTGAGAAGAAAAGCTTGGGTAAATGTGGCTTTATCTTGACAACACTGTTTCAATAATAGGCAATTAAAGAAAGAAAACTCTTTATCAGAGAATATTAGAATAGCATCAAAAGCTGTCATTGAGCACTCCTGTGTTCCAGTGTGAAACAGCGTACATGAGGAGGTAAGGAAGAAGGGGAGCGGAAGAAGGAGGGCATGTAGCTCAAAAAACCCCCCACAAACTGACTTTTAAATAGGAATAATGGGAATGAGTATAAGAAGAATTTAATTTATAGAATTATTCAATAGTTTATTGTTCACTTAATTAAAACATAATTGGTTGTATTTTTCATATTTTACTAAAAGCAAATATGTCCACAGAATGATTTCACTGCCTATTTAGATTAGATATATAAGTATTGATGTTAGCAGCATTATTTCTGCTGTCAGCTACTGGCCAATACTGCTAGGCACAGCAGAACACATGGGAAGAGATTAACTAGTTACCGACAGTTATGTTTTCTCAAGCATCTAAACGAAAAAGCCTCCTTAAAAATTTCAGATAACACAAGCTTTTTCAACTAGTAGGTAGCCTGAATGACAGTAAAACTTCCTCAAACCACTCTGGTCTTTCTTTGAAAAGATAAATTTTTTTGGGTGGTCATCTGAGAAGAGATGTTTACTTTAAATACTTGAGTTTTGGTGAAATGCTCTCATCTAAACACAACCACATTTCATTACATTAAAATTCCTAAGTAGGACCCTAAGATCATTCTCACTATAAATACCCTTTCAGAGCTGTAAGCCCACACTGCCAGCGTGCTAAAGCTCTTTAGGAAGAGTGCAGAATATACCATTCCAACTTGCAAGAGAAGTTAAGACAGCATTAAGTGCTCGCATCTCTCTTCTCGGTGAGACACTCTGATCACTCAGTAAATGCACTAACTTCACAGCAAAGGAATAACCTGAATTCATGCTTCTAAAAATAAACAATCATTTTTAAAAAGCGTTCAGCATCCAGCTTTTGTAATTTTTTATGAAACAATGTTAAGAGGGTTTAGCACATCTTTTCAAATTATTTTTGTTCTACTAGGGAAAGAAAATCTCTTTGAAAGTCTTTCCCCAAAATGGGTGCTGAATACTTTTGAAAATCTGCTTCAACAGAGAAGAATAAGTTACTGATAAAACAGCTCATACCATTAAAAAACAGTAACAAAACAAATAGAGATGTTCAGTTGAAGAATGATGTTATGGACACCAAAACCATGTGAACAAAAAGGCAGCTACAAGGCTGAGCAGGCTGTTAGTTCTACTGTTATGTCAAGTCATAAAGAAGGTAAGAGAAGAAAAGCTACCCCAAAAGCCAGAGAGCTAGCAAACCCCAGTGAATGGCCACTGCACACAAAAGATAAATCTTACTGCAGAGACCTCGGCCTGGAGACCAGCCACTCTCTTTTTCAGGTCCTCCCCTTGAGCCTCTTTGGCACTTAGCTCTTCCTTCAGTTGCTCTACCTGTCACGACATTGTTATGCTTTTAAATACTTATCTTTTGTCAGCTTCTAGTTAGCCTGTTTCAATCCAAGTAACTAAAAGTGACAAAGAACTGAACAGAAGGATCAACACTGGTCACTCATTTTCTCTTCCATTCTTCATTTAGTCTTCTCAAAAGTTTACTGTCTCTGTATTTTCATATAGGCTGCCAGACAAGAATTTGATTATGAAACAAAGATGTATAGTTATGGCTACGTTTACATATGTCAAGTACAGGGCACTTCACCCAACAGTTCTGAAACTGGAATTCACGAGGAAATTAGGACAGGAAAAGGACCATTTTTCAGTTTTAAGAGAAATAATGTTAATTGTCAACATACAGCCACAGATAGCTATACAATATAAAACTGAAAAAAAATAAACATTGTGCAATTACAAAACAAGATATGACAGCAAAATATCAAGATGGCTACAAGTCATCTGTGCATCGTTATCAAAAAGGAGCAAATTTTCTGCAGAAAAATAGATGGACAATAGATGTAAGAGATCCAGGAACTGAGCAGCTGAGCTATAGGCCCACAGAGGGAGAAGAGAAGGGGAAATGGGAAGGGGAAGGGGAAGGGCAAGGGCAAGGGCAAGGGCAAGGGCAAGGGGTGTTAAACTGTCTCTCCATTCCTAACTTGAAGGGGGTATCCTTCAATTCTAGAAGCAACTCAGTGGGATAAAGGGCAAAAGTATAAAAGAACAGATGTGGTTATTTTGAATAAATCAGTGAGCCAGTGTTAAGGAAGCAGGAGAAACACATACTTATTACACGTTTCTACTTCACGGCGAGTAACACTTCTCCAAAATGCACTCTCCAGCATTCTTTTTTTGACAAATAATTTCAGGCAGGACAAATCCAGTAGGTTAGAATTGCTCAGGATCTAGTAGTGTAATTTCCATTCTCTCTTCCAGAGATTTGTACGCTACTTGCAGGGAGTACGCAAAAGCTAACTAAGAAAAGCAAGACTGCTCACAGTATACTTAAATTTACCGTACGAGGTGGCCTGATTCTTCATTAGAAAATGTTAGGGCCCTTTAAAGGAATTAATTGACTTTTGGCTATAGACAATTCAGTAGTCAGTGTCCATCTTTATACCTCAGGATCTACATGTCTCACTGCTATATTTGTCTTGTATTCCCAACGGCAAAAATTAATGATGGCATCACCACTGTCATAGAATCTACTCTCATTCTGACTCCACTACTGAAAGGAGAGTGTAAAGGAAAGCCATTACAGTGACAGTTCAGACACTTCTTTTCAGCCTTTACATAATAAAAAGCCCTAGTAGTTATAGTACAATAGTTGCAAAAAGAAACACACTTTTTTCAGTAGACTACATTTGAAAAGACTCTAGACCAGATAAAACCTAAAACTAAAATGGATTAGCAATGGTCTAAAGATAAACACAAAATCCTTCTGAAATAAAAGAAAGTCAGGTGTGACAGTAAAAGAATAATTTGGGCCATTGATCTTCCTGAACCAAATTTAAATTCAAATTTGAATTTAAAATCCTCTTAAATATTCTTAAGTTATTTTACTGGCTTCGTGGCAGAATACAAATGAACTCTGTCTCTCAGTACTGGAATGGAAACCCAGACCGTAACTCCTTACTGAAGTATGAAAATTTCTCTCATCTGTTCACTAAACTCAGTTTATCTTATTACTGTCATCTGTTTTCTCAATACCTTATTTTTCATGAATTTGGAATGACTACGGTACACCTCCATTTGCTTCATTTCCTCTTCACGTTCCTCTGTGCTCAGAGCTCCATTTGACTTCAACATCTGAATCTCCTCTTCCAAATCCCGGAGGCCACGCTCCATGGAAGAAATTTTTGAATCCTGAAAACAATTACATGAGACAGATAAAAATACACAGTTAGATGATTTGTTAACATACCATTGGAGTAAAAAGAAATAATTTGTTGGACATGTACCTGCCCTTGAAATTTACTCCTGGAGTTCCTACAGAAATCAGTCTACACCTCTTTACATAGCATCTGGCCAAGGGCTCAAGTACTCATTTTTAAATTTTTTATACCTTTCAAGGAAAGCAAGACTTTAGTACTTAAAGAAAACATGGCTCATGGCAGAGACACAGTACACGATGAATAAATGAAAGAACATGAAAAACTGTTGTCTTGTAATACAAAGCCAGCATAAAACAGAGAAATTTAATTCTAATTGAATGAACAGCAAAATGTGATTGCAAGAATGGCAAAAAAATGGGTTTGTGCTACTAGTAATTTAAGTGAGGTCACAAATGGAGAACATAAAAAGCACCATAACCAAGGAAAAGATGCAACAATCTAGTTTTGAGCAGATAAAGCAGTAGAGGATCCTTCAAGTATCCTGGCTCATATATACAACATAGAAAACATTTTCATGGTTAAAAAATATACATCTGGAAAAATAAAAAAGTCAATCTACCATTTTCCTCATAGATAGAACCTCAATCAGAGGTTTTCAATCTACTTGGTTTACTGTTTCTTTATAAGTCTTATATGTTAGGAACATCAAGAACAGATTTATACAGCACACAGAGCTTCATGCATAAATACACAGGTATGTAATTATAAACTGTAAACTCTTAAATAATTTATTTATTTTCTGCAAAATATTTTGTGTTTCCTGAAACAAAGGTAGGATTTTAAACTATTCTCCATTCTTTCATAGACCCATCCTTTGTAATTTTTTTTGTGTCTGATAATCAAAGCACAGCTGGAAAAAAGCATGAAAGATTTTCACATATAGGTTTTCATTCCCAAGATAAGATTTCTCTAAAGGACCATTATGAAGATCTAGTCAGATCATCTACTTAATTTTTGATGCTTAAGTTCAGTAAAGTGGACTTTTGCAACAAAAAATTAGAGAGGTAATAAGGTGAAATGTTATGTTGCAACTTACAACAGTATTTTGTTTCAGCACTCACATAATTTCCCAGAAATACTGGTGTTTATCTGTTGATAGTAAAGATTGCTTATTGGTACCAGATGGTCAATTAGTTTTCATTACTATGGACCACAAAGATGATTAATAAAAGAAAGACAGTAAATGAAGGGCTCCAGTGTAGAATACTGGGAAATGACTATAGAAAATATTGACATGGAATGGAAAGAGTTGGAAGGGAAAAAAAGAATGAAAATTTTTTAAAAAGCATGGATCAAGAAGGAGGGAAAAAGGGAGAATACGAAAATGGAAGAGAACAGTTTGCAAAGACCCTTTCCAATTTTTTAACTGTATTTGTCCAAACCCTCTCTGATGTACTTTATGGACCATACAATATGAAATATGATTGCACAAAGCTGTGTAAACCACACACTCCATTTGTGGCTTCTAAGCTCTTGGCAAATGGCCACTGTTCCATTAGATATTTGAGTTAATGGTTTAAGAATTCAAATACAAATTCATCTACTAAAGTTAGGTTTACAATGGCATACAGACATGCTTCTATGTATATGACCCATTCTTTTAAGTGTGTTTTGAATTTGCAAATTTCTAACTTTGTTGACACACAGAATGCAAAGCAGTACTTCAAATTTAATACTATTAAAAGAAAATAACCCACATCATCATAAAAACCTACTAATCCATCATTCCCATCCTTGTAATAAAATGGACTCTTGGTTAACTGAAAGAAATCTGTATATGCTGCTGCAGGCAGACAGAAGGCTGATTTCTATTGTGTCATGAAGCAGCTCTGTCTTTTCACTGATCAATAATAACAATAAACAATTTAAAAAGGTAATAGAATAGTATAAAATAAATATTTTAAATTAGAAGACTGACAGAAGTATATAGTATTTGGTAGTCATCTTTCATATGAAAACCCATTTTCCAGAGAACAAACTGTACTGCTGCCTATATGCAATCATTTACCTTCATCTCAATAACAGTTTGCAGAGCCTTTGTCTTGGCTGTGTCAGGAGCATTTTCAAATCGACGATGGATCTCCTGCACCAGCAGAAAAGAAAGCGAGAGTTAGCCTAATGGCATTTTGTCCCCACCTACCAAATACAAATAAAATTACTAGCAGCTTTTCTTTCTAATACATAGCGTAATTCAATGCTGCTTTCTGACGGTACCAGTTCATACATTTTGTTTTATCATTTCTCATATCAAATAAAGGATAGGCAAAAGTTCATTTAACAGAATCACAGCCTCAGTTAAAAGGCACAACAGAAACTCCATCTTCAACTACCTACTTACTCAAAATAAATTGTTGAAATGAGAGCTGAGTATACTAAAACTCCCTACCATCTACCTGCTAAACTAATCTAAACTATTACTAGTTTCTCATAGAAGACATACACATGATTTATTTGACTAGATGCTTACTGAAAACAATAATGCTGTGGTTTCTGTTTCAACAGGCTATAGGGTGCAGCTGTGCTGATAACTCTTTTTCCAACTTTTTTACCCCAGAGTAGCAACATTTAATTATGCATGATGCAGATCTTTCTCCACTGGGCCTCAAATGCAGCTGAAAGTACATGGCTGTATAGCACACTGCTCTAGAAACAGAGTACACATAGACAGGAGGACACAAAAGTCCATGTGATATTTCTGTTGATGCAGATTCACAGCACTAGCATGCTTCAGGCTGCTCGTTAAGTAACAACATTATAGAGAGCTGAAGCAACTTATTCTACTGTATAAAGTAGGGATTTCAAAACAACAAGTGGGAATACAGGAGAAACAATATAGAATCTACTCCACTGCCTCATTATTTGTCTTAATGTAGTATTGTCCTTACACCACATACGAATGTTAAATGTAGGAATGTGAATACTGTTATAATCTTAATCCCATATGACACAAAAATACTTTGGTGCTCACAGAGCATTAACTGTGATACCAGTTAACCTAACAAGAAATTGTGTATGTGCACACATACAGCTTAGCCACCCACTCCCCTCAAGCACCTAAAAGACAAATCCAAAAAGCCATCCACAAACTCATATTTTCAATAGACAGGGTGAAGAGATAACGTTTTGTATGGTAGTCATATGTGCAACTTGTTCCCTATGATTAATTATTTGAATGAGAAAGGTAGAGTTGTATAGTGCTTTTCAAAATACTGAAAACTACTTCTGTTGTAAGACTAAATGTTCGTACATAGCTGTGAATTGAGCAAGATAGAAATGTGTAGTGATATGACAAGGGCCACAAGAAGAATTTTGCATAAATTTGGCACAAGACTATTTGCATAAATTAATGCCTGTCAATTGTAATAACAAGAAAATTTGGTAGAAGGTTTGTCTGTCTTTAAATACTATACTTGTATATTTCCTGAGAAGCTGTTTTTACAGGTATATTTGCAGTGAAGTGTGTCATTTTCTGAAAAAAAATACCTCCTGAAAAAATAAACCAGAAAACTCCTCTAAATATATTTGTTTCTCCCACAGTCAATAGATAACTTGAGAGCCTCTCATCAGGTATCACTTACACCATGTAGATAAGAGTGGAGCAATAACATTATTATTTTTCTACTTACCTGTACCTCCATCCATGTAATGGATTTACTGAAATCTAAACAGTCTAGCCAGACTTTTGTTTTGGCCCAAGATGTCCTCTACCTGCCTGTAATACGTGTCCAAAGAAAGGGCAGTATGCATTCCTCTCTGCTATTCTATTCAACTGATGTCTGAAGCACAGCCTAATCAGTAATTTCTCATCACCAGCCTTCCACACCGTTGGTCTCTAGCGCTCTTCCACTTTTCCATCTGCCTACAGGGTCAGGAGCATGATTCTTTTTGTCCACAATTAAACAGTTATGGCTTCTACTTATTCAACAGGTTTTAAATCAAATGAGGCAGACACCTTATCTTCAATATGCTGATGTTAAATCTAAGGAGGGGAATATACTACACTGAGATGCTTTTTCCACAGGGCTTATCATAGGGATATCTAAAGACTTCGGGCATTATCTCTAGGATCATCTCCTTGGCAGAACTGTAGGCTTTTTCAAAGCAGACAGCAGTCTGCCCAACTAACTGAACCTTCTACAGCTCCTTGTGCACACCCTCAAAAGAATTATAAAGAAGCTGTCAGCACACAGGATATCATAAGTACAAGCTGGACCAACATCATCATGTCACTTTTATTACCTACTCCATCCACAGCATTTTTCCTGAGACGCATCAGTGAAATTACTTTTCTAGTCTGTCTCCACTACTTACTATTCGAGTTGCCACCTCTTCAGAGGTAATGCTACAGAGATTCATTCAGTTATGCTGCTCTACATAATATTAGAAAAGAAACTCATCATCAGGTTGAACTAGCTTTAAAAATGTACTTTCAGCTACTCATAGGGCAGTCTGCCACATAGTCTGTCCATAAGAAACTCAGAGCTTATCCTACTACTCTCAAGCAAGGATCAGAGACAAAAATCATAGTGCTACATATGGCCTTAATAAGAATAAGCTATGATGAGCTTCTAACACTCAAGACCAGCCTGAGCATTTACAAATATGATGGGGAGCAGACTCAACACACTCCACCTATTTCCTGGTGCTCTTACCAGTACCTGCATGAAAAACACGCCTCTTCTTCAGCATTCTCGGTCTTCCTCTATCGGGAATGATCTCAGCTGCCTTCCTTGAGGTAGTCGTGGTATATCTTTCCCTGTTTCCATCTCGACCACCTCTAATGTGTTGATTCAAGCACCGCATCATAACTCCAAGATATTGTGGCTGCCAATCTTTCTCATGAGCTCTGGATAGAGTGAATTTCTGTCTTGCCACCACCACAATATTGTTACAGACACCTTTTCAGTATCTTAGCACATATGACTCTGTATCTAGACTGATGCCTTCAGAAATGTTTAAAAGATGCTTTTGTGCAACTCAAGTGATAGGAGTGGCTTCCTCCTGAAAAATCTATCTGAAGCCTGCAGAGTGGACACGGGGGACTCCATTCATGCATTCACCAAAGAGCATTTTGCTGGAGCAGCATTCAGATACTTTACTGCTCTGGAAGAGCAGGCCTGTATCCATCTGGCTGATGTGAGCAGCACTGCTTGGAGTGATCCATTGTACAAGTACACAAACATCTGAATAAGAAAGAAACATGACTCCCGACTATCCCTCTGGAGGGGCTCATAGATGCCCCACATGCTCTAGTCCCTTCTCAGAATTCTCAAGTCTTCCTACAATCCACAGGCTGAGAGGAATGAGAGGCGGGGTAGGACACTCACCATCCTTTTTGTAAATCCACGTGTGGCACATTATGTAAGGTGATACTTGAGAACATTCATTGTAGCACACATCCTATATTGCTGTAATACCACACTATTCTGTAATTGCTGTTTGGCTATGAGAGCAACTACTAAGAATACACATATAAACAGCACAGCTTCAAGAATGTCATTTAACTCTTTTGAGAGGAAACTAGTAAAAACAGTCCACAGCTGAAGATACCCCAGTCACATCTTGGCAGCACGTTCAAATTCATGTCCACTTAAAAAGAGAAAGTTATATGGGAGGGGAATAAAAGAGGGCTTGAATCCCCCAAATTTCAGAATTAAAAAGAAGTTGCTTTTCCTGACTTCAAAATTCACGTATCGGGAAAGGGAAATAATTATGAAGGTGATTCTTTAAGCTTACAAAGGTGAAGAAAGATCCAAGAGTGAAAAGTATCCTACTCTGAATTGCACAAGCTTTGAAGAATGCAGAAAGTTGTATCTCCAGCTGCTCCTGTCACATCAGCTGTATAACCATCCAAGGACTGTTGTAGAATAAAATGAAACAGCTTGATAATAGAAAGCAAATTAAACCAAATTCTTGTGAACTTTAAGAAACTGAGAAAACAAAAAATAAGGTCAAAAATAATATGCCAAAAGTCTAATTTATTTTTATTTTCATAGTGCAATCACATACTGGATAATTTCCAGTTCTACAGACATGGTCTCTGACCTGAAAACATAAAAGCAACTACTACTACGGAAATGGAATAGATGGAATATACAGTAGGAGAAAAGCATGTCACTAAAGGGATGCTGACAAACAATATCTACTTTTTACATAGCACAGCATTTTCTCAAATAGAAAATTCTTCTAAGCTTTTTCTTTAGAAATGCCTGCATCTCCACTGTCTGAAGCAATGCTTTGCGCTTCGGCAAAGGTAACGTCCTACTTCTATCATCTTAAGTAATTCCACTGTGATTTGGATGACATAACCCGCTAAAAAGCACCACCTCCCACCTCTCAACTGCATAGTAAGGACTTAATTTTGGCAACATGCCTACGATTCTAAAGAGCCTGAAAACAGGGCCACAGACAGGCTGAACCTCCCTAGAAGGGAGTGTGGCTGCCGAAGAAAGGTTGTGCGTAGACATCCTTCTTAATTGTGAAATACAGGTTATGTATCTTTCAACAGGTTACTTATCTTTCAGTGTCAGAACGGAGAAATACTAATATATCGTATCTGATATCTTCAGATTCTATAGTGGACACACACCACACAGATGAATGAAAATTAATATTTTCATCTTCAAACCAGGACTTCGCATAATAATTAAAAGCATAGGGCCACACACAAATACCAGGATCAGAAAAACACAAAACTAATCCTTCATTCCTTACAAATTATCCATTCTAATAAAGTATTATTCCTTTGTTCTACTTTCATACAGAAAGAACATTCACATGTAACTGATATAGTTCCATAACAGTCTAGTTGACTTCAGTATCTTCTTACCTTTGAATGCCTCCTATATGTATGTTTTATGTTTTTAATGGTTTTATATGTTTAATGATGCCTTTATTTTTAAAAAAGATAACAAAAAATAAAGCTGCTTGTTCCCAAGTTTTGTGCAACTCGCATGCTTTTCACTGTTAGTTATTATTACTATTAAAAACATGCACTATATTTCTTTTTCAGTTTAGCCAGTGGGAACTTCTAGCCGCCAGGTATCATCACAACATTGCTAAGAATATTGAAGAATGCTCTAT